GCATGAAAATCAAGGATGGTGTTGGTTGACGACCCCGGCTTTGAATCACTGGATTATGAGCGGCTTTTTCTCCCTTTCTTGTAACTCTTATATCCCGCTATTGAGTAGCTGGTGTGCGTGCTCTTTTTAAACAGAAGTTGAATCATCTCGTCACATCTTAATCATAATCACCCACATTCTGAAGCAAGTATTCCGTCTCTTTTGTGAATGCTGGTATTACCTAGGTAGAGGGAATACTGTTTTGTATTTGCCGTAGGACGAGCTGAGCACTGGATGATAATTTTCATTTCTTCCTCTTCCCAGACACGGTAAGCTACCTAAACTTACTTAAACTTTGTTGATATCCCGGTGGGATTCATATCGTAGACTCTTAGGGCATTACTCTCACAAGTTTCTGAGACGAGTGGTTGTAGAACAGTACTGGGATTAACCACCCAATCGTATATGGAGAACCAGCTACAAATAACCCAAAAGAAAGATGGTCGTTCTCGAGTCCATAATGATCATCAGAGAGTGTAATCACGTCACTGGGAGCAGAAAATCGAGCGTTGCAGGACTCTGTTTAACCCCACCAGACCCAGGCGGGTAGTTATTATCCATGCCTCAGTTACTGCCTTGCCCTCCCTAGCCCGGAATGTTCCAATAAAAGGACGAACGAAAGTCTGACGTGTCGTGCGGCCCGAGACTTAAAAAAAGATCCAAATGAACATTACTTGTTCTATGCGCAGCAATCAAGATAAAAGAGAAAAAAACGAGGCAAACTGTGGGAGAAATAAGAAACCCAGAGGATAACGGAACCATTCATTATGAGCTGCAAAAGACGCCCATCAATCCGGCACCACTGGTTCGTCGCCTTGTCAACCATACTCCATCAACCTTCGTAACCATGAAAGAGTAGTGGACAGCTTAGCAGCAGCCGTTGTTGTTCGAAGAGCCAACACCCTGGCCTGGGCCGACTTGGACGCTTGGCTTGGTGTTGTTTGCTGTGGTAGTACCCATGCGCTCCTTGATTTGACGAGCCATGGTCAAGAAAGCCTGCTCGACGTTGCTGGCATTCTTTGCTGAGGTCTCCAGGAATGGAATGCCCAGGCTGTCAGCGAACTCCTGTGAGAAAGATGATTAATATCGTGACGTTCCGAGGTATGATTGATGGTGGTGGTCTGCAAAAGGTTCCGGGTGGACAGAATACCCGGTTATTTTCATGTGATTTACATACCTTGGCAACTGTGTACTCCACCACCTTCTTGTCGGACATATCGCTCTTGTTGCCCACAAGCAGCTTGTTGACGCCCTCGGTAGCATAGCGGTCGATTTCCTGGAGCCACTGCTTCACGTTGTTGAAAGAGTCCATGTCTGTGACATCGTAGACCACGCAGATACCGTGGGCTCCACGGTAGTAGGAAGAAGTGATTGTTCGGAATCGTTCCTGGCCAGCAGTGTCCCACTATATTCGAGTCATAATTAGGTACATGATCCCAAGCCGTGGAAAGGGACATATGCAGGGTGTACATACAATTTGCAGCTTGACAGTCTTGCCATCAAGTTCGATCGTTCTGATTTTCTAGTCAAGGCTCAGTAATGGTTTCAGGAACGGGAACAAAGGCAAGATATGGGCCCAAGAAAACGTACGAAATCAACTCCAATAGTTGAGATGTAGGACTCGGTATAGGTGTCGTCGGCAAAACGCAAGAGCAGGCAGGACTTTCCAACACCGGAGTCTCCGATGAGGAGCAGCTTGAAGAGGTAGTCGTATCTAGCGATATTTGGTCAGACTTCAGCGGAATCAGATGGTTCGCAGAATATTGTGATTTGAAAATTTGGGTGCGAGGTTGCAGCGGCTGGTAGGACTCTGGAGAGCAACTGTCAGCAAAGGTGTGCCTATCAGGGGGGTTTATCGCAATAGGAGACTATGCCGGGGTCGCATACCACTCAGGATTCATGTTGGCGGTTCGAGAAGATTGCAGATGATAAAAAATCGATGTCAAGTCGTCGAGAAGTGCAGCGCCGTGGGGTGATGGGTCGAAGGGTCGATGAGGATGGGTCGGGCGTTGGGGATGATGAAAGAAAGGTCCAGGTGAGAGCAATAGGCTGCGAAATAGCACCAAAGGATGTACGTCAGGCAGGACACGCCTGCTGATCTATGGGCGGTGGGAGGTGAGGGCAGCTGACAGGTCACGTGGAGGCGGTGCTGGCCCCTTCTGTATTGTGGTCGACGCCAGCGGGAGGCGGCAGGTGTCTGCCCGGTATCAGGTATCAGCCACGGGCGGTCCAGGTCTACTTGATCCGTCTCCAGGCCCGCACAGGTAAGCAGGTACCTGAGGCCTCGCCTCCCGCTGAACGCAGGGGATGCTATCTTTGGCATCACTGCCGGGCTCCAAGCGCCAGCGAGCACCAGGCCTAATTACCGCGGAGTGTTCAGACATGGGGGGGACCTTGCACTCACCAATCCGCCGTGAATCATCTCTATCAGGTACGACGTAAGCATGTCTCAGTCTGCCACATGCATGCACGCACCAGCCGCTCGGGTATCGCTACATAAAGACTTGAGGTGACTTGACATTGAATGGTCTACAGGCGAGCGTGCCGGAGCACGACCCTATTGTGTGTATGGCGTTTCCCGGCACGGCCAGCTGAGGACGGGTGAATGAGCTGCGCATCTTTTGAGTTCTTCTGGATTGCCCTCCATGTTCCAAATGGGTGTGTTGTTGTATTGTCTTTGGGTGTTGAGTCGGTGCACCATGATCCATGTTGGTTGTGTGTGCCTGAGTTGCTCGGCGTGCATAAAACCAGGTAGCACCCGCATCCTACATCGACAGATACCAAGGCAGGCAAGGCAATGTAATGGCCCAATTCCGGCTGAGGGCACGCAGGATATCAACCTGCTCAAATGCACAGGCCAAGATGCGAGTCCCAACGTGGCACACCACTCAAGCAACGATAGGGCCACGGCGATGAACTATCCAGCCTGAGACCCGCCACGACGGATAGGGCCCCCACCCGAAAACAGGGCCATGCTTTCTGGGGGAGGAAGCCCAGAAAAAATAAGAGCCTCTTCAGATTGGATGCAACATCTTAATCGAAGCTATTCGCTGCGCCGGCCTCCCAGAGCATCCCCAGGCCAATCCATGTGTCTGCCGCCACGCCGCCTCGACCAGCCATGGCGGCCCCGATGCGCTGTGCCCTACACAGTACTGCTCGCTCTTCCTCACTGTCCTTTGCCCGCTGTATAACCACCACCGTCGACTCGGCCAAAGCCTCAACACCACAGCCCAACATCGCCGCCAATGACGGGCCTCCGCCCGCCCCGTACCGACCGCAGCCCGGCCTCTGCTCTGGCATAAGCCCTAGGACCTCCTCCGGGAGCTCGCACCACACCTTCTTCGATCCCAAGGGACCATTATGGGTTGGCGCAGGGGGTGATCAGCCGCCCGATCCGAATAAGGCCAACCTGGGTAACAGTGAGTTGGAGAGACAAGATGCTTGCCACCCCGCACGCAGGATCGCACACTGACCCGAAGCCACAGCTTTGAGGATACTGCAAGAACGGTTACCGACTCTTCTTCAATCTCCGCTTCCTCAAGACCTGCTTGCACCGAACATCTCCCTCCACCTCTTTCCCTCGACCCATCCTCACCTGCCCACAGTCTCCGGCCGCGTTGCGTACAATGCAGCGCTTTGGACCTCCCCTATAGCTTGGAACCGAGTGCCGATCATTGGAAATGTCAAGATAGAGATCCTTGCTGAGCGCGTAACCACCGAGCCCATCACCTTTCTGCCTCGACGAGCCGGTGCAATCCCCGAACAATTGGTCGTCAGATGGTGCGAGAAGCGCAAGCCAGTGGCCGGGGGCGGTAGCCATATCAGTACAATTGCCAAGTCCCTCCGGCTTGTCGGCCGCGAAGACGGCGTTGAAGCCAACAAGGCCTTCACAGGCCTTTTCATTTTCGACTTTGACCAGCAGGGTAGGATCCTCAGCCACACCATCGAGACAGCCCAGGAGGGTGGTAACTGGGAGAAAGGAGTTGGCGCCAAGTTCGTGGGCTTGACTGACTGGCTCCTTGGCGGGATACGAGATCCCGGCGGCTCGGGAACCCCATTACCAATGTTCGAGAGAACTATGATGACGAAGAAACTATGACACAAATGTAACGACTATCACCGACCCAGAACCGGAACAGCCAGCAACAACAACTTCCCAAACGTGCACAACCTAACCAAGGATCTCTCCGTCTAGGGTGTGCCGTTGTATCAATAGCCCGGTTCACAGGGCACTGTATCATTTCATGCCAGCAAAACTTGGACACCCTCACCGATAACCTGCCTACGTGCATTGTAGTAACACAAATTTATGTATACCTAATAAGAGCACCTCTCCTAAACGGTTTTCTTTTGGTGATTGCTTAGTTTTGAATGGTGATTGGCTGTACGAAGCCTATAAGATGGATGCCAGATCTTGTCCGACACTTACATGCAAATAAGCCCAAAGAGCAACGATCCTTCTCAACCAACTAATGCGGTCAAAACGTCATTTAGACTGTTGGTATTCGAAGGCTGAACACTTTATCTTTAATAGGCTTGATCTGACCTTAAAGCTTAGCTATATATATTTTGAAAGAGGAGCTAAGATTCTCATGGGCTAGCAACAGACATGATGCGCCTTACCGGGCCCAATAACCACATCTAGACTATCAAGAGAAATAGACCCTCGCTAAGCTCTATCAAGTACATGCCATATCCATGATCCAGCCCTTGGCCGGGAGGCATTTCACAATATTCTGCCCCCCATGACCATTCCCGCCACAGCTTTGGTGACACACAGTTGTCTAGAGACCTCGAATACCCATGTGTCTTCCTTTTTTTCCACCCCCGAGATATTTCAGCTGGGCCGATATTGCACTGCGCTTTCATTTGTAAAGAAAAAGACAGGGCTGGAAGAATGTTTGGAGAGAAACCCGGTGCCAGGCAGCGGCTCACGATTCCCAAATTCGACTTCCTCGTCATCAGAGCACCATATCCCCAAGCCCCTCCCCCTCGAAGCCCAGCGTGGCGAGCTTCTTCAGCCGGGCCTTCTCCCTCGCCCTGTCGGCGGCCTTCTTCTCCTCCGCCAGCTTCTTGACGAAGTCGAGCTCGCCCCTCTCGTAGCCGGGGGGCGCCTCGTCGTCCTTGTCCAGGTCGATCTCCCCCAGGAGCAAGACGTTCTCCCCCCGCACCAGGAAGATGCCGTGCGTCACGTCCGCGTAGTAGCCCCTGGGGCCGCCGGGCGCGCCGCCGTCCGGGCTCGAGGCGAAGAAGCGTTCAATCGTTGACTGCAGGACGAGGTTGGCTGCCGGGGAGCCGCGCATAGTAGACAATCGTTAGCCCCCAATGCCCAGACTCTGTTCAAACACACAACGAAGGGGAAATTCTAGGAAAATGGGCGGATTCTTTCGGGAACAACGAGAGAACTCCCTCACATGCCCCTTGGAATCCAATTGCTCAGTTCCTGCCGGGGCCATACACACCGAATTGATCCCAGCTCCTCAACACCCCAATGAGTTTCCTCCCATCACGGAGCGCAATCATCAACTTCTCTGTGTGAAACGGACACGACAAATCAGCCTATCAGTTCAACAAAAGAACAGTTTCCCCTCTCGTCCCAGAGAAGACAGGGCCAATTCCGGTCCAGCCTCTCTCCCTTCAAGCTCCAAGCTACAACGTACTGTCGGTGAGGTCCAGGAGCTGCGCCGCCGTCGTGAACATCTGCGGCGGCAGCTGCGCGGGCGCCTGGGGAGGCGCCCCGGGGCCTTGATGCGTCCCTGGCGGAGGGGCATCCTGGATCGAGAGGTTTTCCATTATTCGCAAAGCGCCACCCTCTCTCCTGCTCCGGTCTTTGGTCGTGCGCAAAATTTCTAGAATGATTTTTTTTCCTTTTCTGGGGGGGAGGGAACGGAACGTTGTCTACACACTCTGCTGAAGCTCCATGGGATTTTGTCTCTAGCTTCTCTTCATTTGGCAGCTTGTATGTATGTCAAATCAGATGTCGTCAAGAGCATGTCCCTTGACACTGCCCGCCGCCCCATTCAGTGCTGTCTGATTGACGGAACAGGCGTAATCGATAAGAGTTTATCACGTGATTACATAAGTCTTTACCAACGTCAACACTCCCCTCGTGCGCGTGGGGTAGCTGGTGAGGGGGAGAATTGCTAGGGAGCCATGGATGAGGTGCGATCAATTCAAACAGAATGAGATCACCACTTGGTTCCAATATGAAAAATCGTAGCAATTGCAGTCATCACTGGTTGCTCGCATGATCCCACCAGCTTGTAGATGGATTGGGAAGAATTGTAGCACACAGCACTCATTCACCAACGGCTTTGGGGGCGGTCAAAATCAGTTAGCTCTGGCTCTTGATAGAAGAAACATGGCATGTCAGGTCCATATGCAGAGCGATTTGGTGTAACCATCTATACGGTAATATCCTTTATCATCCAAAGAGGCAGCCCGGATTTATATGAGGCTCTCTGTTCCCAACAACACAAAATAAACCCCTGTTTTCTCGCCAGAGCGTTTTGCTTTTTCTATCATGGTGCCCTCCGGAACGCCTCGAGATGCAAACAAACACATGGTACCGCCCTATTTTCAAGTCAAGACGAGTAAAAATTGAGTCGTACTGGCCGACTCAGAAAACGACTCCTCAACCCGACGAAACTCCGACCTGGTCTAGTCCGCCCAGAAAGCCCGATCCATCTCCGATTAGGGTTTTTTTTTAAGGCGGGGGAGCTTTTTCTTCTTCGCTGAGAAGACTCGCTAAAAATGAGTATGTCCAAAGATCATTAGCTTTGAAGAGAAACAAAAATAACGGGGTCGTTCCTATGTAGCTAGTAGCGGTTCATTGTAGTCCGCTCCAGCGCTTCCAGCAGCTCAGGCCGTGAGGCGAGGGCTTCGCGGGCCTGAGAGTACGTGAACCACTGTCGTTCGCGCTTGTGCCGTTCTGGCCACTCATCGTACTCCTGCAAGACGGTAGCCTGATAAAAGTGATATACGGCACGGTCCTTTGAGGATTTGCGGGCTCGCTTCTCCTCAATGGTACTTAGATTGAAGTCGATCTGGATGGAGATGCCAGCTTCTTCCCAGGCCTCGCGAGAGGCAGCCTGTTCGCAGGTCTCGTCTGATTCCCATCCACCCTTGGGCAGAACCCAACCTTTTCGTCGAGTCGACTGGATCAAGAGGACGTAGTTGAGGTCTTCGGTGAGGGGCACAATTCCTGCCACAAGGCGATCACCAGCAGAGTTGTAGCCTGCATCGCAAAGAGTCGTATTAGTTGAGGCCCGAGCTTCAGCGTCGGTAAAGCAGAGCAGAGCAAGGTCAAGCAGAGCAGGACACACACAACAGACAAACGTAGCAGGCGGAAGCAAGCAAAGCGGAGCAGGATCAATCATGCGGAAGTCGAAAAAGCGTGCAAGGACTCACGTTGATTGCTTCGACCAACACGAGAGTGCATCGACCGACCACTCGAAGACCCAGACATATTTCCCGGCAGAAATACTGGTCACACTGGTTTAGGGAAGGTCTTCCAAGATGCAAACTGTATGGTTGCTTGGGTTCTCTTTCTCCTTCCTTCTCTCCTTCTCCTCTCTTCCTCCTCTTTTTCGGATTCTTCAGCTGCTGGTCTAGATGAGGCGGCCTCCTGATTGAGTACTGGCGAGGGCCCGGTCGTAAGGTGAGGGTGACGAATGACGAGGGTGAGCGGAGGATCAGAGCTTGAAGGGCGAGTTTCCTCAAGTCGAATAATTGCGACGCCGGTGGTTCCGGCTGGTTAAAGCGCCATAACGACAATTTTAACTAAAAAGACCAAATAGAGGAAGAAGTCGATCCAACAGTGAGCCTGGATAGGAGACAGCTGTCGCAGAAGACCCAGGCGCGCAGGGCAGCCTGGGATAGAAGGAAAGGCTGCGAGGTGATGGTGGCGGGAGGTAAAAAAGAGAGCACGCGAGGTGGGCTCCAGTGTTCCGGTAGGGGCAATAGCGCCGTCGGTTGGAGTTTGGTTAGACCGGACACTGCCTGACAGACGATTTTCAGGGGCTCTAAAAGGTAATAATATACCTAGCAGTATTGACTGAGGTACGGTAAGTATCGACCAGGGCACGCACTGGGTGGGACCATGAGGTTAGATCGAGTTGACCGTGGAGATTTTGGCGCCGAAACTTTGTTTGGCAGGCAACGAGCAGAATGTAAGTTGCCCAGCTGGACTGAACTGGTGTAGGTACCTTGGGCTGGCGTTTTCCTGCCCGTCTCCTCCTAATCCGAATTAATTACTGATTAATTGGCGGTGCTAGCCGGCTCCATCAGGCCAGGAAATTGGCACTGGGCTGGGTTCCCTTCTTTAATTTAAATCATTCGCAGGTCTGCAGGCCAGCTTACCTGGGCTGAATTGAGAGGGTGTATGTAGGCACAGCGCAAGGGAGCAAGGCGGCGCTCGCTCAATGACTGGTGGTGAGCGAGGCGAGTCGCATGCGCACTACTCGCACCAGTCCAGGGGACCGGACGAGACGAGATGACGGTGTAAGAGTAGCAAGAGAAGGGCGTGCCACGCCTCGGAGCAACGAACTAATAAGCTACCTAGGTACGTATAATCAGGTGGCGAAGAGCGAGTGTAACAGCGGGCTGACGAGGACGAGGCAGCCAGAGATGGCTGATGAGGCAGGCAGGAAGCAACTTGCTGTGCTCGTCTCTGGTCTGCTGCAAGGCTGCGGGATCCTGTCTCGTGCCACGGCAACGGGGCAGATGCGAGGGGGGCCACGGCGGGCTGGAGGCGGTGTTTTATACAGTATCAGTGCCACTGGCCTTTAATCACGACGCCCGATCCGCTGTCTCCCACCAACGGCTCCTCAAAGGGGCTTTGATCTACCAGGAGAGGGACCATGGTCGGGCCCGGTCAGGTTAGGACAAGCAAAGACTGGGCTCAGGGTCGTTTTCGGAGCGGTGCAGTATCGCCAGTAATGAAAGCGATATTATTAGTTGTAGCTATGACTGTAGGGTCCTCAATCTTGCAGATGAACTGCGTCACCGCGTATGGGGCTAAGACATAAGCTGCAGACGCTGCCAACGGACAGGATGGAGAATTGAGCAGGTACATGGCAAGGCCAGGCAGGTACTGGAGGGAGGAGAAGGAAGGAAGGAAGAAAGAAAAAGACGCGGAAGGGCGGCGAGGTATTGAGTACATAGTGCGCGGGCGGCGGCGGGCTCGGCGACGATGAACCCAATACCTGGATCGTCACGCCGACGTGCGTGACAACTTGACAAGCCAAGCCCGGGTCCGGACCAGGCCAGGCCAGAACTGAACAGAGGCACCTCCCGGCTACTTCGTCTTGGTGGGGTTGGACGAGCGGAGAGAGTTGTCAAGACAAGGTCAAGCATCGTCCTTGTCCTTGTCCAGTCCAGCTAGACACGCACCTACTGGTAGGTGCAGCACAGGGCGGGCTGTAAGGTGAGTGACACAGCATGTACGTGCAACTGCATGATGCAGAGCCATGTCGCAGAAGGAGTGGTCTCGCTCCCTGTTGGCCTTGGTTCTTCCATTCATTCTTCCATGTGGTCCATGGCGGACGTACATGCGTCCACGCTGATTTGTGCCCAATAACCAGCTTGCAGCCAATTGTGCGTTACTACTGGATAGACGCATCTACATACAGACCATACCCAGCACGGTCGATCTTTGCATGTTACAGAGTGAGCGGATCACATGCCCACTAAACGAACAGTAAGCAGCACAATATCAACCCATCTCGAGTGCTGATCGTGCAGCCGGGGAGCGAGCACCACGATCTACTATGTATTGAAAAGGAGGTATATGGGCTTAGGGATATTGCTCCTAGTCGCATGGTGTGAGCAATTGGTGGCGCCGGCAGGCCTCCATCTTGCACGCAGGAAAGGTACCTAAGTCCTGTTTCTGGTGCAGCACCTTCACGAACGTGTACCTAGAGTCGCCAGTTGGTCTGATCAGGGAGTTCTGACTACCTAGAGTCCATAGCATGAATGACAGCGGCACTCAGTGGCCCTTGTCCCCGTCCTAGACTTCGGATATGGTCGGACCAGGGAGCCAAAGGTTTACGTGAAATGCGAGAAACATGCTTCCGCCCCGAAAGTTGCCTAATCTAAAGTCTCGTGTAAGTACTCCGTATGGAGTATAGAAATTATGGCACCAGCATCAACCACGAAACACCCCTCACCTATAAAGTCTCTTAGCTGCTTGTACTAAGTAAGGTAGGAAGGACATCCAATCCACACCTCACTTCACTTTTGGCCTCTGAGCTACATCCCAAGAGAGGTAGTACAATATATGTTGGAAGTGGTACCTCTGTGCGGTCCTTGTCTTGTCTCCATCGAGTGAAGGGGTGCTCTATGCAACCCCTCCAACCAGTCAACAACACAATAGGCAAGGCGATGGGAAGGGGTAATACGATATGTGGGGGTCCATCGTCCGCTTATTTACTCTGCTTGGATGTGACTTGAGCCTGGCCATGTCTTGTCTGTCTCTATGACCTAATAAGTCTCGACTGCCAACGGCTTAGACCTGCGGCAAAGCATGCTTTCCTTAGGACCTGAGCCCCGCCACCACTTCCCGAATCTCGTTGCAGCAACAGCGAGACATTTGGAGTGAGTGTGGTACTCTATATTCCAAATTCAGTATGACACCCAGATTGCCCAGATCATGGAGGGTTCACGCTCCTGGCGTCCTGACAGTGGAGGGGTTGGACATGCACCCACAGCACAATGCCTTCACGGAGGTCTAACCGTATCCCGAGCCCAGTGGTGTAGGAGGTACATCGAAGGTGACGCCCCCACCAAGAAAGGGACCTGCAGCGCCTCCATCGACACACAACATGTGGATGTCTCGTAGTGCGTCCAGCGAGTGAGCGGGCACTGATGGATCCGACCAACCCAACTCTGAGTCCTCCAGATCAGACGGATGTATCTGCGCTACTACCTTCTGGCCTATACCTGGCTCCCCACTGTACACCGGTAGGCAATCAGGTACCTCCCTTGGACAGCTGGACCGATGCTACGAGACCGGTCCCAGGCTGAACCTACAGCTGAGCTGGAACTCCTAAAATGCCCTTGGTACCCTGTAGTAGGACCTTTAACTCCCAACGCCCTCAACTCTTGCTTCAACTGCAAACCTCACGGCCTCTTCTACGTGCAAACGCCACCGCCTCTCTTCGAAAAAAATATAAATCACATCCGCCACCCTTTCGTACGTGCTTGCGAGACGGCCCATCTATTCGCTCACGGCCCCCCAACCAGCATCCAGCCCATCGCCTTCCCCGCTCCGACGAGAGCTTCAAGTCTCGATTCAACCGCTAATACCGGCCACATCCTGGCACATCGATTCCTCTTCATTCACATTAGCCCAACACCACAATGGACGGCACACGACAGCTTGGAGGTCCCTCACCGGACTACGAGTATATTACCCCGATTGGTGAGCCGCCATCGTTCCATTCCCATTCTCTGGAGGGTTTCTTTGGCACTTCACTCCCAACCTGCCCGCCACCTGGCGCTGCCCCTCCCAATCCCCAATTGACCACTGCACACGTGCGTCCCCAAGCCCTTGTCGTTGGCTCTCCAAAGACCCTCCCCCTCTTAGTTGCCGTGAGCAGTTTCTCCTCTTCAGCAACCATTGCTTCACACCATCCACCAGACCCAACTTTCTTCCCACGGCAAAACGCTCAATCAGCTCTCCAAAGCAGCAAGGTGTCGCGCCACCATGACCGGGATCAAGTCAGTCCCAGGGTTGAAAAATACTGTGCACCCACTCTCTTCCCCTCTTCCTCGCCGTTGTCGCCCTGCCAGGCCAGACCCCCCAATCAGTTGGCAGCGGCTCTTGGTTACCAACCATTTGAGTTGCCTGCGATATACCGTCTCCCCCATTGGGCCTTCTGCGCTGCTCGTCTTCACCCCCCTCCCACGTCTGGTCTGCCTTGCACAATGCATCACTAGCTTTTCGTCTCATTCACATGATGCATGTGTACGCATGTATATCTGCCTGTCTATATGTGTCATCGTGATGGGCTTCACTTCCTACAAGGTCCCAAGGCGGTCACCTCACCTTGAGTTGATGCCTAACACCTCGTGGCAGAGGAGAAGCATCCTTGCCCATCTCGTTGCCCTATTGCCACACATCTTCCATCCCGAGCGGCGCTCAGACAATTTTGCGTCACCAACTCTCGCACCGCAACGCCCACAGCGTCATTGATGTTTTGAGTCCTGTGATTTGCTAACCGTAACAACAGCGTATTCGAACTCGTCGAGGTGCGGTTACTGTGGCACCAGTGGGAAGAGTCAGTCAAAACGTAAAAGTGATATTGTTCCTTTCAGTTGTCAGGGTTATTGGGCCTGGCCTAGAACACCATGACAAGCTGCCATGACAATCCCCCCACGCCATCCATGAGACATCGTGTTCGATCGCCGGCCTCGCACTCACCTGCAACAGCCGATCTCGCACTCCAATGTAGACCCTGGCCTATCCCGACGGAAACTGACTCGTATTCTCTACGTCACTAGGCTTCTCGTACTATGCGATCGCCTCTTCTCTCAGTCCGGGCTACTATCAGACCCTCCTCGATCGCAGCTGGAGGCGGTCAGGGAAAATGCTCTATCGCCCAGACCAACGGAGATCGTGCTGTCCGCATTACACAATTCGACTGGACTCTCACGAATTCAAGGCCAACAAGGCGCAGCGCCAGACAATAAACAAGTTCAACAAACATGTGGTTGGTGATGAATATCAAAAGGAGGTGGCTCGTCGCTACCCCAAATCCCGCGAGGAAGCAAAACGTCGCGACAATGAGTTTGTCCTGGTAGATCGAATCCACGAGGCCGAATACGCTCAACTGCAGACGCCACCAGAGCCTGCCCATAAGCTCGTTGTTTCTCTTGAGAGTGACGAATTCACGGAAGAAAAGTATGAAGTCTATAATAACTATCAGATGACCGTTCACAACGATCCGCCCGAGAGTAGAACACGACGCTCTTTTACTCGCTTCCTGTGTAGCTCTCCCTTGCGGCAGGAAACTGCGACAGGGCCTGATGGGAAGAAGCGCCGACTCGGCTCCTTTCACCAATGCTACCGCCTTGATGGGAAACTAGTTGCCATTGGTGTTCTCGATCTGCTTCCCGATTGTGTCAGCTCCGTCTATTTTCTTTATGACGAGAGCATTCACAAATTCGCACCTGGGAAGTTAGGGGCACTTCATGAAATTGGGTTGGCTCAAGAAGGTGGTTATCGTTGGTGGTATCCCGGATTCTACATTCACAGCTGCCCAAAAATGAGATACAAGATTGACTACTCACCACAGTACCTTCTTGATCCAGAGTCTCTTGCGTGGGACCCCTTGGACAAGCATGTTTTGAGCCTTCTGGATAAGCAGCCGTTTGTCAGTCTCTACTTGCACCGTCAGAAGAAAGCCGAATTAGGTGTTCCTGATGATTCACCTCAGACAGAAGATCCTGCGCAGAAATCAGAAGAGGGATATGGTGGAGGTTCCGGTGGCGACACAAATGAGTCCGACGATGATGATGCCGCATTTTTATTCAATTCTGGAATGCCAGGCATCGCAACACTCGAGGACGTGGGCCTCGTCGACTTGGACAACATTCCTCTTGTTGGCTCACTCGGAGGACCTCAATTTAGAACAGCCGATCTTGTTGGTTGGGAGACGAGCACCATTGCACAATGGCCAGGAATCAAGGCTGGTATCGCAGAACTAGTCGCAGCTCTCGGGACAGACTGCGTCGATGTCTTGTGCATCAACTTGGATCGAAGTAGTTAACCTACAGGCATATACATACCCCACGGATGTTGTGGCTACAACCATGGCAACTCCTTATACTGACCATATCCAATTGGTGTGATCTAGAACCGAGTGTGGGGGTTCTTGGACTCCTTTTCCTAGAAAAAGCACATGTCCTGATAGGTGCCTAAACTAATCGATAATTTGCTTGGTGATCCATAGCACCTCATGTATAGCTTGCAATGCCATATTCTTACAACTTCATGAACCAGTGCGAAAGAAAGAAACTGATTCCAACATAATGCTCTACAATTTCATGACTATGAGGTGTTTCCTTATAAACCCCTTGTGGCCCTCCGTTGTCGAAGTGCAAAGGGATAAGCTAACATCAGGCCTTGCATCAACCCACATGCCAGCCCTGAAACTGCAGGGTAGCTCTAAATTTACGACGGTCAAGCCGGTGTATCGGCCCCGCTGCCCCGCCTTATCAGCTCCATATCTCGGTGAATGATCTTCAAGCAATCAAGATAAAAAAAATCCGGGAGCTTTAACTTGGTGGTAAACAGAACACTGCCCATGTAGTGTGGCACTACCGAACACAATCCCCCCCTCAACACACGTCGCAGTTCCGTAGGATAAGGCGAAAATGGCGACAACACACACCCTTCTCTCCCCAGCCGAGCTGAACTATCTGCACACGTCGCTGTCGCTGCGCCCACCCATCCGCTCAGACGGCCGCCTGCCAACACAGTTCCGCCCCCTCACAGCCGAGACGGGCATCCTGCAGGGGACCAACGGGAGCGCGTGCGTGACCTTCTCGGACGGCGCCGAGGCCATCGTGGGCGTGAAGGCCGAGATCGAGAAGACCCCGGACGCGCAGCAGTCCGGCGACGCAGACGAGAAGAAGGCGAGGGGGGACTGGGTCGAGATCTCGGTGGAGATACCGTCGCAGAGGGACGACGACGCCGCCACCGTGTTCCTGGGGGAGATGCTGCGGGAGGCCCTGCTGGGCGACGGCGAGTTCGCCAAGAAGCTCTGGATCAACAGGCGGTTTCACTGGCGGCTTCACATCGATGTGGGTGGTTTTTCTTCTTTCTTTCTCCCTCTACTTTACTAGGCCTGGGGGGCAATGCAACTGACAATTTTTTTTGGTAGATTCTTCTCCTCTCGCCACCGCTTTCCTATCCTCTCCCTCTTCTCTCACTCACGACACACCTGGCCCTGCTGGCTACGAGGTTACCAAAGTTGAAATCAGAAGGCGACGAGGATCCCATGTTCGACGACGACTGGGAGTCGTCGGTGTTCGTGTACCCGCGTGAGGGCGCATCCGAGGGAACGAGACCCCCGATCACGCTGCTGGTGGTCACCGTCGGGGACAACGTCATATTCGACCCCACCAAGGAGGAGCTCGCCGTGGCCGAGACTGCGCTGGCCGTGTCTGTGGCGGAGGTGAGGCGGGAGAGGCCGCGGGGCGGGATGGAGGTCGACTCCAAGGGCCGGGAGCTGAAGCTGCTCTCCATCCGCACGATCGACCCGCCGTCGAGGCTGACGCCTCCGGGGGTTCCAAATGGGACTGCTACGACGGCTACGGAGGGGAAGCCAGCACCGTCGAATCTGTCAAGTGAGACGCCGGTCGCGGGTGTGTGGAAGGCCCCCCTTGGAGGAACCAAGTTTACAGTGGTGGATGGGATCATACAGGCAGTGCTGGAAAAGGGTGGTGTCGCTGATGAGGTCCTGGACGGCTTAGACGGCGTAGAGCTGGCATGAAATCTTAAGCAAATGATGGCATACGGAAAAGTTTCCTTTTTTGGGAGGTTCTACATTAGTCTTAATGAGTGACTTATACCATAAATTGGTGTTGATACAGTCCGTCTTCCGTAATGGGAATCCCTTCAATCGTACAAGCACGGGCCTACGTATGTATGGTGGGGTATTCAGAAGATGCCCCAGAACTTCCTCCTCTCAGGTGGCTTGGCGTCCTCCGCCTGAGGGACCGCAGTGCCCAGGGCCTCCGCCTCGATCTCCTCATCCGTCTGCTCCTTCTCGCTCTTGCCGAAGATCATCGTGATGGGGTCCTTGGTCTCGATGCCGTGCATCTTCATGTAGTACCTGCGCTTGGCGACGTCGTTTTGGTGCTCCATGCGGTGCTCGAACGCGCGGATGGCCTTGTCCCTCTCGTGCATGACAATGACGTTCTTCCAGCCGAGGAAGAACTCGATCGGGTGGCTCCAGAACGAGGACGCTGGGGGGAGGAGTTCCTTGAATGGCGAGTTGGAGGCATAGTTCATGAAGAAGGTGAAAATGCCAAGCGAGAGAAGCGTGCCCTGCGAGGGATTTCGGTTAGAATTGGGTTGCCATTGGTAGAGAATTCTACAAAGTGGTCAACTCACCATTGAAATAAAGAAGTGCAAGATCCGGCTGTGCCAGAACCAATGCGCCCATGTCCCCTCGGGAGCCATCATTCCGGGGTAGGACTTGCGGTTCTGCACCGCGATTTCCTCAGCGGAAAGCACATGGCCGTAGTGCTTGGGAAGAGTGTTCTTCCTGAGGCGAGACCCGTGGGAGGGAGGATTGAACTTGAGAGGCTTCTCAAGGACAATCGGCTTGCCATTGTTGGGTGACTTTGACGATGCGAAACGAACAAGGACGTTTTGCGTAACCGGGATGCGGATGCCGCGCCAGAGCGGTCCCTGGAGAGGCAGTAGGAAACGTGGGATCACTGCTCCCGAAGCCATGATTGCGACAATTGGCTCCCTAGAATCGATGTCTCCCTTCTTCAAGAGAAGCCTTAGCTCCAATCACGCCGTTATCCGCATGACTTTTTTCTGTTGGGCTTGTCCCCGAAAAAAATGCTTACCTAAGGTTGGGTCGAGCCCGAGCTTTTTCCGGATAGATTAGATATTCCGTACCACCGAGAAAAAAAAAAGTCAAGTACCCGAGTTCGCCCGGAGCAAAACCGCGCCTAGCCTCGTGGTACTGTAATTGAGCGGTTTTGATTGGCGGATAAGGGACCCACGCGCCACACCGTGGCTTGTGACCGCCCTAGTCGCTCTCTTAGTTGTCATGCTGTCATATATGATTTCCTTGATTGCGCCGCTACAGGTTTTTTTTTATTCGGCTTTCTTCTCCTTCTCCTGACAATCTACACTACACTACCAACCTTTCCTTTTCAAAGACCGTGCCAATCGTTCTTTGGAATTGCTTCTCTTAGCCTACGACTTCTTTTCTTACATTTACCTTTAATCAACCCATAATCTTTCAAAATGGCTGGCGGTAAGTGCAATACGGTTCCACCCGAGGGGCGTGCACCGGCCAGTGTTCAGAATGCCATTGAGGCTCATCCAGCGCTCTGGGGGCTTGCTGCAGCGTGGGCTCTGGTCCCGAGGAATGATGCGATGCGGGAAATCTGTCTTGGGCGGACTTCCTTGGCCTGGCCGTCGCTTCTCAGCGTGCTGTCGGGCTGCGCCATTTTCCCCTGGCCCAGGAATCTTACATACCGCTGCGAAGAGTGTGTTGGCTATTCCCACCGCTTCTCTGCCCGCCACAGCGCTGGAGGGAGCCTCGACGATGACCATTCTACGAACACTGCTGGCCGCCGCCCCTCGAGAATTCGCCTCCCTCGGCCCTCGCACGTGAGTTGGCTAACATGTGCTTTCTAGGTGACGCTAAGAAGGGTGCCAACCTCTTCAAGACCCGTTGTGCTCAGTGCCACACCGTCGAGAAGGACGGCGGCAACAAGATCGGCCCTCTCCTGCACGGCCTCTTCGGTCGCCAGACCGGTTCCGTCGCTGGCTACAGCTACACCGATGCCAACAAGCAGGCCGGCATCACCTGGGACGACAAGACCCTCTTCGCCTACCTCGAGAACCCCAAGAAGTACCTCCCCGGCACCAAGATGGCCTTCGGTGGTCTCAAGAAGGAGAAGGACAGGAACGACCTGATTGCGTAAGTTGCCCTCAGTTGCACCAACACTCACCTACTCCCAGCACGTTGAGCTCCGAGAAATGCATTGGATCACGCCCTTTGCCAGAACTCGCCAACGACTCTGTGGACGGTGTGGAGGTCGGATTTGAGATGACACAGTCGAGCTAACATATCTCCCTTCTAGTTACCTCAAGGAGTCCACTAAATAAGTGGCTACGACGACACAAGGGTGATGATTTAGAAAAAAAGCTACGGATAGACTGGTGACTGTGGCGAACGTGTATGATAGACTTTTTTAAGACCGATTCGTCGGAGCACCTGAACGGTGTATGTACCCCATAAAACTCCTCTTTGGCAACTATCACCCAGACAGTTTGCTGTGGCCGTTGAATTGGCTATGGCTTTTGAATTGATTAGACAGGCCCGGGGATAGAGGGCCGGTGTATTATGCTATAAAGACGTCCTTATTATCTCTTGCTCGCACGTATCAAATCTAGTCGTGGTTTTTTCCCCGCCAAGTCCATTACAAGGGGCAGGTGTCCTGAGTTATGGAAAATTATTGTTCAGTTCTTGTCTATCTTTGCTTTACTATTGTGCTTGGGTATTAATGGAAATTGTTGTTTAATTCTTGCATATTTTTGCTCTATTATTGTGTTTATGTATTGTTATCTTATTCTTGTCTATTGTTTAATTATTCTTCCCGTTATTGTGGGTTTTGCACGCTTGGTTTTGTGTTATTGAGTGCATACTCCCAGTCCTCCTCGGTAAACCCTTGCACATTATCATCATAGGAACGGCTCAATCCATGCTCGGCCGCCTCGACGAATAACGCGTGTAAATCCGCACCGCTGAACCTGGATGATCGGACATCCCGCGCCACCTTTGCTAGGTAATCTAGCTCGGCCTGTGAGGTGTTTGGCCGGCTGGACCTCACGATCGTCTCGAGAATATCCACCCGCTCGTCTGCGTCTGGAAGACCGACGTAGATGTGCTTGTTGAGACGTCCGGGGCGAAGCATCGCCTCGTCAATCATGTCGAGGCGGTTGGTGGTGCCAATGACGTACACGCCCTTTCGGCCGCGGGCGCCGTCCAGCTCGGTCAGGAGGGCGTTGACCACCCGGACGCCCGACTCGGAGGAGGAGCCTTCTCTGCGGCTCACCAGCGAGTCAATCTCATCGAAGAAGAGGATGCACGGGGCTGACAGGCGCGCACGCTCGAAGAGCTCTCTTACCGCTCGCTCGGACTCGCCGACGTACTTGTTGAGGAGCTCCGGCCCGCTGATGAGGATGAAGCTGGCCTGAGCTTCGTTGGCGACGGCCTGAGCGATGAGCGTCTTTCCGCAACCTGGCGGTCCCCATAGAATCACGCCAGACGGCTTCTTGATACCCCAGTTCAGATACTTTTCAGGGTCTTTGATGGGTCCGATGATTGATGTGGTGAGTTGCTTGCGTGCCTGTTTGAGGGCGCCTACTTGGTCCCAGCTGACGTTGGGGATGGCGGTGAATCCCTCTTTTCGGAGCGAAGGTGTGAATTCTTCGATTGTGACAAGGAAATCCTTCATTGTGACGCGAGAGCCAGCTCCTTCGTTGTCATCCATGGCCACATCCCCGTCGGACAAGCCGTTCTCATCCTTGATCCGAATGATTCTGGTAGCGGTTCGCAGTTCAGCGCCTCGAATAAGTGCCTTGATATCGCTACCCACGTAACCATTTGTGTATTTTACCAGCTTCTCAACGTCAATATCTTGGAGGGTATCTGACCTCGGTAACACTGCGTTGAATATCTCCCTGCGCGTTGCGGCATCGGGGACCTTGATTGAGATGGTTAGTTCGAACCAGCCGCACTTGGTCATCTCTGAATGTAGATCGGTGATGTTTGACGTCGTCGCCATAAGCACCACGGGGCGGTCGCTGGTAGACTCTTTGCGCATCCTCTCCACCTGCCGCTGGAAAAGCTTGACCATTTGCATGTGGCTGTCACCGTGTTTCGCGCTGCCTTCCTTTGAGGCATAGTGATCGAGGTCGTCGACGAGCATTATGCACGGAGCCAACCGCAGGGCCTCGTCCACGGCCTCTGTAAAGCTCTTTTCCATCCGCTCCTGGTTTTCGAAGCATTCGGCCGCGGATATAATTGGTACCTCGAGCTGCGAAGCTATCGACCGCACGAGGGATGTCTTCCCCACGCCTGTTGGCCCTGAGATAAGTATTCCAGGAATCTGCTCCCATTCTCTAGGTCCCCAGATATGCTCGCCCTTCAAAATCGCCTCCAGCTGAAGCAGTAACCCATCTCGAATCTGGTCAAGGCCTCCCAACCGAACTGGCTCTGATACATGCTCTACCTTGTAGCGGGTAGGTCTTGGCGTCTTCTTCTGAGAGGGCGTCTTGTGCGTCGGCTCCGACACGCTCTCATCGTTCACGGCCCCGTTGGGGCGGGGGGCAGGCGCCTCTCCATTTTCCCCGGCACTCTGTGAAGCCTTTTGGTCCCCGTCCTCGGCCTGGATCCGGCGCTTCTTCGACGCATGCGAGGCGCTCGAGCTTGTATTCGTATTCCAAAGCTTGGTCATCTGGCGATTGAGTTGAAATCGTTGATCCTCGAGCTTGCTGATCTCTTCGTCGGCTTCCTCTAGGGCGGCTTCCGAGTCCGAAGAATCGTCCCGTAGCTCTTGCTTCCTGACCTGTAGCGCGCGGTCAATTGAATCGTTCAGGACCTGCTTCTTCTTGCGGCTCAGCGAAGAATTGGACCGTTTGACGGCCTCGTAGGCGTGGCTGATCGATCTGAAGGGCTTCCTGTCATTCGATTTCTCTTCGAGGATCTTGATGAGTTGGTAGACATCATGATCCAGCCCCGGGCGCAGGCTGACGGGTGCCATGACGGGCGATGATGGTTTGCCTTGTCGTCTGTATCTTTTTTTAAGAGAAGATCGCGAAGTTGAATTATGTTACCCCCACCAGATTTATCGATAAGAGATAAGAAATAATTTTGGCCGATAAGAAGATCTAAAATTAGTGGAACCAGACTTGGCTGCTCTTCCAGAGGAACTAAACACAATAACAGGAGAATAATTTTCATGTTCCAAAGACGAAGGAAGCCAGGCGTATGAGGGTAGCTTAAATATTCATTTGCCGAGCCTCTCGTCCTGTCGTCAAGTGAGTCATCCGTTTGAAGGTTCACAGATTTTTCCGTATGACTACATCGTGGGCCAGGAAAGGCTATCTTTTCAAGCTTTCGTATTCATTGTCAAGTGGGCGACATTGAAATAAAGACACTCAAACATTAAGCTGCTTATTTTCAAGCCTGCGAGCGGTATTTTCAGAATATTGAGTACTAATAATATGTAATTGAGAGATAATAAACCATGTATTGCTACTTGATTCCTTTTCACATTACTGAATTTCTCTATTCGACATGTCTTTTCATTATGAAAAGTAGTCTATTTATGATGACTCTTCCATTAGGTTTCTCACTTCCCCTGTCACCCACTTGATCGTGATAAGATGTCGGGCTCTGGCATCTTCCATTGTTGTTCTTAACTTTACATTCAGTTTCTCTTACGTATTCCAAAGATTTAAACACATTTCTAGTTCTTTTTTGCACTTCCATAATCTTCGTTTGGGCGGAATTCGCGCATTTTACTGGTTCAAGTTCATTTTCTGCGCACCTAGGATCTAGTAGCTTCTCACTGATATCATGCATGGACATAGAGACAAGGTAACTTCCTGGTTCTAAGCTCTCTTTCCATTGTGGCTACTGCGTTGTTATTTTGCGTATTTGACAACAATAATGCGTATTTGAAAACAATAATCATATTTTTGTATGCTGTATAAGAGCGTTTCATGCCCGCTGATCGGAAGTGCTAAGTCTTCGGCCAAGTCTAGCAGGTGGACCGTCCAACACCACATGCAAGAGTTCGGTTATGATGAAGAATTCGTCCTCGTCCCCTGCCATGCGGCCGTAGCCGAATGAATACGGGGCAAACCCTCTGAGGGCGTTATTGATGGCGATGAGCGAATAATGCTCTCCTACCGAAAGAGTATTTGTTGGATCAGCAAACAAGGGCGAGTTGGATAGACGTCCTATTTATGTTTCCTTCATCGAATATGGATGGAGTTAGAGCTCCCAGCGTCACAAACCTTTGAACTTAGCTTTCGCGTGCCGTCCGAAGCCTGTCTTGACTAGGAGACCAACGCGGTCCTCCCCAATGTTGCCAATTAACTCAAACGAATCTTGATATCCCGGTTTATATACCAATTGTTTAAGGTGGTACATATAGACCGTTTGGTCTGGGTCCAGCCTGGCTTTTGCAATAATAGCTGGGTCAACAAGGTGCGGAGTGCTTGTGTGGTCCATGACAAATGGGATAAGAAATCAAACAACTTTGCTGAATACCTATGATCATGGAACAATATCAAAGTAACATAAACAGGGACGAATTGCAATGAGTATAGGTAGAATGCACCGCCTTGTACTCGCCTCCGGCCAAGAAAACAATGATTAAGTTTAATACCTTGGAAAGAGCTTTCCACCAATGGGTTGTATTATAGAAACCAGACTTTGCTCCTTGAGCAGGCACCTATCCAGGCGCAGGGAAAGTAGAATAGACATATCTAAAGTAACTCGAGAAAATATGCATACCTTAACGCCACTACAGTGTTAGCTTTCTAATGATCAGGATGAACCGAACTCGTTATCATCATCAGGCAGTTGTTCAAGCTCCGTGCATGTAAACAGGAAACGGAGGTCCGAATATGGATATCTCAAGATGCCGGGATCGCCTCAAGTTTCTGCTTCTGCGGTTGTTCAGCAGCGGAATGAACTGGCTCGTGATTCGGTACGGGCTGGAGATCCGGTAGGGTCGTTTCGGGGCCAGCTGGGAGTTTTTGTGATATTTTGCCCGTCACCTCTCTCTCGAGAGCTTCTAGTTCTTCTTCTACCTCGTCCTCGTCATGTGCAGATATGCGACCGCCGAGCATATCGCTGATTTCCTGTATACCGTGGAAAGACCAACCGTGTTAGTCTTCAAGCCTTGGGGACGTTGATCTATGTCTGGGGAGAATCCAATGCGGAGCTGTACCTGTTGATATGCGATAGCATCGGCGCTTTCGCCCATGAGCTTTTCCACGTTCTCTATGCCACCCATCTCCTTGTGAATATCGTTGAGCACCTTGGTGCCCTGTTGCAGGCCGAATAACACGTCCTTCTGGATGAGCGCAAACTCAACGTTGGATGTCAGCTTTTCTAGCTGCTCGAGTTGCGAGTCCGTCTGTGAAAGCAGGCTTTGTTGGTATTTCTTGCGCCGTAGAGCCAAAAGAGCGCGCTCTTTATCGCCCTTGGCGAGCATCTCCCTAGCAATGTCCGTCTCCTTATCGGTCAATACGGTGATGCGCCGTTGGTATTGATGTAGCTTGTCGCGTTGATTCTTCATGTCCAGGATCGCCCTATCAAGTGTCAGAAACGGAAGCAAGTAGATAGGGAAGGCAAAGGGGGCAGTCTGTGGCATCCTGAGTTGTCTCAGAACCCCCCGGGCCCAGTCGCACTCACTTGTCCTGGGCGGTGACTTTGCTCCCATTTGCGCCCATGGTGAGGTATCCTGGGATGGACGCGCGTAGATGGTAGAGATGCGGAACGAGGCGCGGGACCTGGCGCGCTGTCTTCAATTATCTGTGCGAGGCGTTTCGAGTGATTTGGAATGTGTGCGAAGACGGTCCATTTGCTATCGGCATCTGGCTCGTCATTGATTCATGGGTCCTGGCCACGGAGGTGGGCGGCGGCACACGACCGCCTGCTTATCGATAAGCCCCAATCATGGGGCGACATCGTGCCGAGAGGCTCCAGCTTGCGTCAAGTGGCGCTTTTCTTAGCAACCTCCATCACACCCCGCCAAGTGTTTCTTACATTTGGTCTGTGGTGCATACTCGAGTAGATACTCAAAGGCCTGTCGAAAAGCAAGGATAGGTGGGTTTGTGGACTGACGGGTCGACTGCTCCAGTGTGATGGGCAAGTACTTGGTAACAGTACGGACACTAAAATAACAGCAATGACGATACCTACAGTCTCTTAATCGCAAGCTAGGACCAGGATGTGATCTTGTTCATGCGGTCGGACTTGAAACCCCACATGCATACTTCACTCTAAAGGTAGAGCGAGAGCCACAATCTGAAATGAAATCCGCGATTGGCCGGGACAATGCTACTTTTGGGTGTACGGGATGAATTGGCAAGCGGGTGATATAAGACATTGCACACGCAGATCACAGGCGTTCTCAACTCGCAGTTCACCAGCCAAAATCTATTAAAATAATAAATAAAAACTATAAATTAATTCTGGGAGGTCCAAATATTAAACTATTATCTTTAATAAGGGTATATTATCTATTTATTGCTGGTTTATTAGGCTCTGAAGGTAAGGGGTTTGGTCAAAGGGGAGATCAAAGTAACGTTTGGTGTGCAATGTCTTCTGTCACCCGCTTGATTGGGTGCTGCTCTACCTTGTAGCGGCTAGGTCTTGACGTCTTCTTCTGAGAGGGCGTCTTGAGCGCTGGATACCAGGCGACTGATATAAAACATAGCACACGCAGAACCGCCAGCGTTGAATTTCAGTACAATATCAACACAATATGAAAATAATTGATCAGTAATAATTACAATAATAGCTAAATAATATAGAATAATCAACTAATAATTTTCCTATTGCTGCGTTTAGCTTCCTGGATAAGAAAGTTGAGGTCCCTGACTTGTGTGAACAGAGTTTTGGCGTGCTTTGGTGTGCCATGTTTTATGTCACTCGCTTGCATACTTAGGTACCTAGTTGATGTGCTGTTTATATGGCTGCTTTCAACGCGGCAAGTGTCGGCAACATATGGATGGACTATACTGAATCGATTTGCTACATTTCACATACCTACCTCCCTGCTCAAGTACGCAGATTGCCCTGAGGAAATAAGCTTAATTAAGGTTCCATGGAATCTCTTGTCCATGTACTGTAACCTACCCATCTGCCAATAAGGCACGAGGACGTGTACATATTCGGTCTATCGTTGAGCTTGAAGGACTCATATGTGCAAAAACCAAACACTCTCTTTCACCAACGCAGGCAGTATGAAAACCCCAAAGCACATCTCTTCGCTTGTTCATGACATGCAGCAACGATGTTTTACATGCATTGGTAGGCCTTTAACTCGGTGGTGTAAGTGTTTGTATCGTTTATATTGGAATCTTCAGGGTATAAATGCTATGTACAATGTATGTGCTCAATGTGCCAATGGATGTCTTCTAATACAGTGTGGACAGTCGTGCGAGTCAAAATAAGCTCCTCGGTCCCTGGAGGTGCCCACCGAGGCCTCAGTTCTGCAGCCGTTGGAAAGAGCGGTTTTAGTGGCTCCTGGCCCAATCTCGCCCCATAAACAACAGTTTCGGACGCATGGCCGATCGCATTTTGGGTTGCGACTCAAAAATATGGATCCAAGGGACCAGCGGCCGTGCGGTGTTAGTCTCAGGGAACACTGGAACTGTCAAAAAAGTTAGGTACCTTCGTCCACCGCGAAGTGCCTGGTTCTGTGTCTGCCATGGCCTCTATTCCCAAACGCCCAAGAGGGTAAAACGAGACTCGCTTCCAGGCCCCTTCCTCTCGTCCGCATGGGCCCAATTCCCTCCAATAGCTCGAGGCCGCCCAGCACTCTAGGCTTGCTTATCCATGCACTATCCTTGTGGTGGTGATGCAGGCTAATGAATCATTAGCCCCTATGCCTACGCCAGCTGTCGCCGGTGTAAGCCACTCACACCCCCAAGTCCCTTTCCTTGCTCTTCCCCTCCCTCCCCTCAATTACCCCATACCCCGGGGAAAACGGCGAGTGACCAACAAGACCCCCGTCGT